GATAGATGGATGGATGGATGGATGGATAGATAGATAGATGGATAGATGGATGGATGGATGGACGGACGGACGGACGGACGGATAGATAGATAGATAGATAGATAGATAGATAGATAGATAGATAGATAGATAGACGCTTGTTATAGATGTTATGATCAAAATTAAGACTTTCCATTGTATTGACTGTTGCTTTTGAATTGATACAGTCTTGCTTGCACTTATAATTGTGGCACTATGATTACATAGATAGACAGACAGACAGATAAATAGATAGCCTCATGTTGCTCCAAAACTGTACGACTTTCTTCTGTGGATTGTAAAAGATTATGTTTTGGAAAATGTCTCATTGTTTTATTTCCATACAATGGGAGTTAGTTGACACCAAAACTGTTTGGTAACCAGTTTTCGTCAAAATATCTTCTTTTAAGAAATGCTTATAGGTGGGTTAGTAAATGATGACAGAAGTGTCATTTTTGGGTGAACTATTCCTTTAGTCCACAAATGTATGAACGTATTGCAGCATGTAATATCAAACCAAGGGTTACACTTTATTTTAAGGTGTCCTTGTTACAGTGTAATTATACATATAAGTACTGAGTAATATTAATTAACTACATGTACTTACTATATGGTTAGGGTAAGGATTTGGTTTGGCTTAGGGTTACTTGCATGTAATTATGCATAATTAATTGTTATTATAATAGTAAGTACATGTAACGTGTAACAAGGACACCTTAAAATAAAGTGTTAACAAACCAAGTGTCATTTTGTGTGTTTTTTTTTGTTTTGTTTTTTTTTGTTGTGTGTGACAAATTAATCGAAATATACTGTTCAAAATGAAGACAAAAATATTTTGATTTCAAACATAAGTAACTGTGTTACTCTGATAGGACACCTGTATGGACTTGTGGAGAACTGACTTCACACATCCACTAAAAACCATTTGAGACCAGCTGGTAGTGCTGCAAAACTGCAAGTGCTAAACTGTAACTGCAAAAAAAAAAAATTCTGCGAAATATAAACTTTTTTATAAAAGTCAGAATTGTGAAATATAAACTCACAATTTTAGTAGTAGTCACATTTTTTTTTTTTTTCTATGGTGAAAACAAAAAACTGAATTGCAAAATTCAGTAAACTCAAAAAAAAAAAAAAAAAAAAGGGCTCAGAAAAGTTATGTTAGTTTTGAGAGAGGCTCCAGTAGCATTTGAATGCAGATGACACTTGACTTCATTCTTTGTACATGAAATAAATGCTTGTTGATTCCATTCACACACCAAGAATCTGGAAAAGCTCTGATCAGCCGCCAGTCAAGTTATTTGCAACAGGTTTTTGCAGCACGGTTTCATGCCTTGAGTCGGAAACAGGCAGGGCAGCTAATAGTCAAGTGCAGGTGTGAAAATGATAACCTGAAGTTACGGCATCCCACTCAACACCTATGAGCTCAGCGTTATGTGTGTGTGTGTGTGTGTGTGTGTGTGTATAATGTATATATAATTAATTAATTTAAAAATGAATTTTTCATCATTTTTGAAATAATTTGTTTTTTTATTTTATTATTATTGATTTTTTTTATCTAGAGAAGATACTACAGAGAAGATGAAAATTAAGAAATTAAGATTAATGAACAATAACAAAAAAGAAAAAACAATGACAGTAAGTAAAATCAGCAAAATAATTGACAGCACATTCATTATTACATTAATATTTTTTTTAATTTTAGAATTATATAATTTTTGTCATTTT